GACACCGAGGGTTGCGATCCCGTTACCGGTCAGTAAAAAAGACAAAAAGGGAAAAAAAAATCAAATAAAATAAAAAGATGACCGGTAAGGGGATCTTAACCCTTGACTTGATGTTGTCAGCACCACGCTCTCCTGAGTGAGCCACGGGCCAGCCCCCAAAGTTTTTTAAAAGGCATTTTTTTATAAATAAAAATAAAGTGTTTCTTAACTTTATCTGGTCACTAAAAAACACACACATTTGCCCACACCACAGATCACGCATTAACATCTTGTGAAACTGACGTTTTGCTGAGTGCAGTTTGTTAAACATTGAACTAGAAGACCTCTGAAGCTCTACCCACCTGGGGTTCTGTCAGCTCCGTGATCATAGCGCACCCGGAGCCTCGTCCTACGGAAGGGAAGCCCCCAGCCCTCGCTCAAACTGTATCAACAACCCGAGCTATGTTTGTAAGTCTCCTTCCACCTGAGAAGTACAGAGCACATGGTCGGCACCTGGATGTCATTGTCCCTATTTTACAGACAGAGCAACTGAGGCCTACGCCGGTTAAGACACTTGCCTCAGATCCACGGTCTCGTTCTTATTGTTGCCACTGAGTCACGGTCACTTTGACCCACTGATGGAAGAACAAAGGGGGCCACAGCTGGGGGAAGGGAAGCGAGAAGGGAACCCAGGCCTCCAGGGCAAGCTGGACTGCAGCAATGGCGGGCGTCACTGAGCTCAGCCCTGTGCCTGGAAGGAGGCAGGAGGTCAAAAACAGCAAGAAGAAGAAAATACGGCAGTATCCTGGGAGAATACAATATTGGATGAGAGAAAAATGTAGAAACATGTCTAGGCTGTCACCAAGCAAATGTGACTGAGTGCAGGGGAAATGTAGGGACCCAGCACCATCAGGTGAGGGGAGCTGTTGCATGTGACAAGCAGGATGGGAGTTGGCTGTCCCAAGCCCCTCCTGCCCCCTCACCGCTCCAGCACCCCAGCCACCCTGCATCTCGTAAACCCCCATGTCACCCCCCACTCCATCCACCATGGCTAACGCAGCAGGGGCTTCCTGCCCCAGGGCCAGCACCGACTTTCCTTTCAGGCGATCAGTGCCTGCGCACCACGGCTATTAACCATCCTCAACATCACTCCCTGGTAACAAGCTGGATGAGTCCATTTCTATTGCTTACAACAAAATACATGGAACTGGGTAATTTATAAAGCAAAAAAAAAAAAAAAAAAAAAAAATTATTGCTTACAGTTTCTGAGGCTGGGAAGTCCAGAAAGGGAACACATCTGGTGATGGCCTCAGTGGTAGCAACAGTGACTGCAGAGTGTCACACTACAAACCTGGTGGAGCAGAGAGACTAACCTTTCATGTGCTCTTCTCTTAAGACCCTGAGAACCACGCCCCGACCACCACACTACAGTGTGGTCCTGCAATCTAATCACCTCTTCAAGGTGAAGAAGGTTACTTTGCAACTAACCAGTTTTTCCTTCTCCTGCTCTTGTCTCTATCTAGCTTCCTGCCTCACTACCACATGAACTTGAGCATATATCTGGGGCAGTTCTACAATTTCTACGTGGAAGGGATTTAGGGATGAAAAAAATGAAAATGGCAGATAGAGTTGGAGGGGAGGCTTTTGCACTTGTCTTGTAGCTATTTTTGAAGTGCCCTTGTATTTATTTGGGGGATTGGGGATACTGCTGATGGAAATTATGGGCACCTATGGTGCTGGCATTGAGTTGACCACTTCCCACGGAGTGAAGAAAAGTGTGCTTCTCTGTATTTGTTCCCTACAACAGGGAGCATGGAAATGGAGGAACTGTCAAGTACTCAACGCCTTTAGAAGAGAGGTGC